TCACACAGGGTGCAGGGTTTCCCACAAAATTACAAAAACCATATTCCATTACTTTGAGAGCTAAAATATGACAATTTCGATTATATTAAATGCCATTTTTCAGTGAAAGTTGTTTGGTATTATGAACTGGAAGACTGCAAAGGATATAAGTCGGTAAATTTATCAAGTGCCCGGTCATAAATAACCGGGTTGGGATCCTGAATTTCCATTACTTTTTTCCCCTCTGAAAACAGGATTCCGGGACACCCTATTTTTCCTATTTTCCATTTTCTGGACAACTTTATTTTCCCAAGACTTTTCAGGATTTTCCATGACCATGGGATTCCTGAAGATGACGTGCAAGGCTCAAGTCCTAAATCTATCATTGCCAACTAGAGGGGTGAGATAGATAAACCCACCTGTTTCAGGATCAAAGTAGTAGGCATCGACGGTATCCCGGATGCCCAACAGCTCAACGTAATCCTTCAGGATGAATGAAATGCTTGCAGGCTTCCTCAGACTCAACTTGCGCCCCTGTTCATTCAGGATGGACAGCTCGGCAGCCCCCAGGGGTATCAGGCGCTGACCTGGTGCTGGGGGGAACAAAGTCAGTGGCTGGTTATATGAACACGTAGTTCACGACATAGTTCCAAAGAACATACCGGTAAGCTATACTGCATTTGTTTTTCTAAAAAAGTTTCAGCAATGACTAAGTTTGCAATCAACAATCAGTGGAAAGGAAAATGAGCCTATCTCTTTGTGAAAAGCAAAGGTTTACAGTCCAGCCTTCCTCCGCGGGGAATGATCTCCTTGCATATGTGTGTGTGTGTTATCTTTGACAATGCCTTGGATATACAACCCATTTAGCGTGAGTAAATGGCTCTCTCTTTCAAACCAGTTTCTTAGTTGACATGCTTATTCTTTGCAAGATAATCATGGAGATTGTCAAATAAAAACTAACCTGCAATTAACTCCCCCAAATAAACCTACAGGTGCTGCAGAGGAAGGCAGGTGTAGGATTATTTCTTAATTGATTGATCAATCATTCCCTTTCAGTTACAACTTTCACAAAATAGCTGTTTG